GGTGCCCTCACACTCTTTTCTTCCTATCACATCAAACTCAAAACAAAGGGCCACCAAGACAGCAACTTAGCTTTTTGAACACGGGATCACCATATGTCCCAGGACAACCTAAAGGAATACGGACTCGAGAGAAAGACATGCAGTTCCCAGGGCTCCCAGGAGACTGAATCACAAATGAAATGGTATAGAAAGAAGATAAGAAAGCTTCCCAGAAGGACAAGTAGAAGCAGGGGCCAATGAGAGACAAGACACTCTTGAATTTCAGCCTGCAGCTAAACATCTTGATAAATTATGCCATGGAATGGAAAAGGGAAGTGGTACCCATGTGTCCAGTCTTTAAAGGCCTTAGAAAGTGGTAAGGTACTGCCTCTCAGCATGCCTCTCTGATTAGTGGTGCAAAGCACTTTCTTTTTAAAGTGGAAATGGACCAAGATCTGAAGCAAAATGTCAATCCTTTTCAATCAAACTTTGCAGGGATCATTCCTTGTCCTTATGAGACCACCAATCAAAGAGAGATCTGAGAGGTTTCATCTCCAAAGGCATTTTTCTTGCCTGTATCACCCCCAAACCCAAAGCAGGTATCAGCTGCTAAGTCTGAGGAGTCTTCTACACCCAGTGGTTGTTGTCACTGTTATGGAAAGTGCTGAATGTCTGAGCTACAATTCAGAGCAACTTCAGCTCCTCTCTACTGGGACAGCAGAATCTGCAGCATCCTGGAGAAAAATAAAGACATAAAAAACAACCGAGACAGGTATTGATCACCCATCCACACACCTCTGCACTGACTTACAGCCAGCTCAAATCAAAAAGGCCAAAGTAACCCTGAGGGTCTCCAAGTGCTGACAGAGACAGAAGCATAAGAGAGGAATGGGGACAGCAATAAGTGCATGCCAGACTAGACTGGTGTGATCTCTGGGGGAAGCCACATGCAGAAAGGTTTACACAACACAGCAAGATTAATAGGGGGATGGAAACATATTTATGAGCTGTGGATCTATAGTTGGGGGGAAAAAAAAAACGAAAAACAATTTTGAGAAACCAAATCCTTCCTCAAGTCCCTTAGGATCTTGTGAATATGCCCAAAATCTTATCTGTCCCTTTTCTAACTCTATCAGTTCCAACTCATAAAAAATACTGTCTCCCTGTAAATTTTGTCCCACTAACATCCTTAGGTCACCAGCACTATAACAGTAGTAGTGCCAGCAGTCATGTCACACATTCTGAAGAGTTCCATCACCATTTCTGTCCACCTCCTGAAACCTCGGCTTCTGTGTGAAAACACAGTGCTCCCTCTCCACCGGCAGCCAGGCTCATCCAAGATGGGAATCCAGGCACCCAGAAAGAAGAACCACTGAGCCATTGCACCTGAGATGTTTGCACATAACCTTTGGGCCACCAGGAACAGCTCCTTTAATTTTGCAATACTTAGCTCTCTATGGCAGATGCGGGTCTGCCCACACGAATGCTGCTCTCTGCAAAAAGCATTGTCCCAGAGCAAAGCTGATTCCCAGGGAATGCACTGCCCTATTCATGCCCCTCAGGACTCCTCAGACCCCCACAAACAAGCAACACTGTACTGGCATTTCTGTGGCCCTGACTCTTCTCACTGCCTGAAATAAATGGGGACATTTGCTCATGCTTTCCTTCATTTTCAGTGGAAATTTTTGATTTGTTGACAAGGAAACATAGACAGATCATCCCTGATCTTCTCTTTAAAGAGCCTAGTAGCATTGATATTATTTGTTTACTAATAGGAAAATAAAAAGTTTCTTTCCAAACAATGCTGTCTCACTCAAAATAGAATTTCCTGAAAAATAATCACCATTTTTATTAAAGTCTATTTAATTGTCAACACTTTTCAGCAACCTCAGTAATTCCACTAGAAACCCTGGTACAAGACTTGCTTGAAAAATACCTTTCCCAGAATTCCTTCTGTAATTTATTTTTTAACATACAAATTCTCCAAAGTATCAGTACTCTAGACTCATCCCAAAAGACTATCCCTGATCCCTGTGTCTTATAATGTAGGCTCTGCAGATACCACAGATACAGACAGTAAATGGCAAAGCTGATCATCAAATTAGCTCCTTTTTGCTACAGGACGTAAGTCTAGACATATTCCAAGGTTTTCAAATAAATGACCTGTTTTGCAAGTTGTATGAATTTTAAGTATTAACCATGAAAGAAGATTATGATATTGGCTCCTGGTTGCACTAGAGCAATACTGTGAACTATACATGCAAGAGAGGGTAAGATTTTCTCTTAATGTATCAATTTATGCAGAATTATCCAATCCAATCCTGGTGATATGCTAGGCATCCTTAAATAACTATTGATCAAATAGAAAGTCAGTCAATAAATTCAGAATGATTACCTACTGTTTTATTCATAATAATTCTTCCCACTTTCTCTTAGCAGCTATTTCTTTCTTCCCTCACCATTACCTTTTACATCTTTCCTCATGGGCTATGTTATTTATCTCTTTTGCCTGGCAACCAGTGCCAGTCTTTTCAAACTCTCTTCAACAGATAAAATTTTGAAGCATAAGTTCATTCTCATTTTCTTGCTTTGTACTGTAATTCTGAAAGATCTCTTCAGAAGTGCTGCACAACAGGAACTGTTGATTTATAATGGCATTATAATATCTTCTGTGTTCTTCTTTCCCCTGTCCATGGATCACAGTATCACATTTGCTGTGAGTGTAGTTATAGAAGTTAATGCTCCCCAGGAATGCCACAATACAGGCCTGTTCATCAACTTAGTTAGAATGGATATTCACTAGTAAATAAGTGTATGTAGATAATCTAAGACATTGATATCAATAGCTGGAATTAATCTTCCCTAATTTTAGTTGTCAAAAATTTCAGGGTTTTCACTAAGCTCTACTTAGGTTCCTTCCAATATTAATAAGAAAGGCATATTTAAAGAGACACCTATCTCATATTGAAATAGGTAAAATAAGAGATAAATTGCCCCTGAAGGTTTTGATCTCTCTAACTTTAGAGGAGCACTAGACTAAAAATTTAGACTAAAAATCTACTGGCTTAATGACAAAAGTTAAAAGAAACAAGTTCCTCTCTCCACTCCAAGACATTAATTCTGATTTGTTCCAGAACAGACATACCAGAACTCATGCACCAATCCTTTATGCAGCTATTAAACCTCACCAGGATCTTAACTCAATCCCTGCCCAGCCCCTGCACCCACTCACAGCAGCTGCAGGACAGGCAGAAACCCTGCCAGTGTGATGCAAAAACACAGGGAAAGGGATAGACAGCCTGGGAATGGAGAGTCTCTGCCCAAAGCAGCAGTGATGTTCTGTGTGTATATTTAACAGCTTTCTAAAGTGTGGGGATGTGATTTTCAATTCAAACACCCATTAAGCTATAATAAAACCTTGCTAAGAATAGTCAAGGCACTTGAGTATTACATATACATACATGCATGTGTTTGTATACTTTCACACACACACATATTTTTTTAACTTGAAGCTTTTAGCAGCTAATAGCCGGAGCTGCTCACTGCTGATTTGAGGCAGAGGAACACACACACCAGGCCCATGTCCTCACTGTGAGATCAAGATTCTAAACAGAGTGGCCTTGTTTAAACTCAGACCGGAGCTGTAGAGTGAGAAATGTCTGTAAGGCCTCATGCTTAAAGAACTGGATGTTCCACAACACCCTTAGCCACAGACATGAACCACCACATTAAGAGAGTCTCTCTAAAATAGTCCTTGGAGAGCAGAGCATTTATTGATTGGAAAGCCATTGCTTCTAGTCAAATCATGACTTACTAAGTTGCTGAATTCACAGTGTTTTCTAGCAGTGGATCTCCACTGAGGCCAAAGGAAGCAGTAGCAGATTGGATTTCAGAGGGGATTGATGGGAGCTGTGGCTCCCATTGCAGTAGCTCATCTCCAGAGCAGCAGACTCCCTTACTTTCAGAAGAAGTCTGCCAGTGTTGCTCAAATGCATGCAGTTTTCATACTGCAGTCCTCTCAGGCCATAGGGATCCAGTCTTCCACCAAATCCCAGAACAGACTTATGAGTCTTCTTTTTTATAAGAAAGTCTGACAATAAAACACAGCAAAACTTTCTCATAATTTGGATACAGTCAAGAAAAAAAAAATGCTCACTCAAGGAAATAAAATAGGAGCTTAATATATAACCCATTATTCAAAAAAGGAAGCTTGTGTCTTTTTTGTGCCACCTGAATCCAGTCTTCATCTCATTTTGTTCCCCTGCTTCAGCATTGGAGACAAGCAGTTAACATCACCATGTCTATAATCTCTGTGTCTCCTGAGCTTCCTACGATCTGGAATCACCACAGCCTGGCTCTCAGTTTTCAACCAAATGGTACATCTTCAGGAAGTGTTCTTCCAGACTGTACTATTCATTCTCAGGCTTCCACACACACGAAACTTAAAGATATGGCCCTGTTCCATCCAGCCCATGTATTCTCAAAAAATCTCAAAAGCACGAACTGTCTCATTCAATTTCTGACACTTTCTCCTCATTTCCAAAATCATCACCAACTGACAAATTTACAGCCATCTTTCACTTTGAAGTTGCCCTGTAGCATATTTTCTCAATTTTTCTGCTATTTTACCTCCTAGTACAAATTTCGGTTTACTCGATTAGCATTACTTGACTGTCAAATCAGCATAAACCTTTCCCGTTGTTAAAATAATCATTCACACCTTTCCTTTGTTCTTCTATGTTCTGCCCAATTCATTTGTAGCTCCTTTATATTTTACAGTTAGCCACACAAATAGCAAGTTGTGAAATCTATGGACCCTTAATAAAGAAGCTTTAGAGATTCAAGTGATGAGCAGAGAGATCAAGTGCTCTATCCCAGACTGCGGAGCCCACGGGATGGACTCCTAGCTCTTAAGAACTGCGGTCCCATGTGCTTATCCTAAGAATATGCCTCCTCCCTTGCACAGAAAAAATACCTTGTGCAGGCAGAACTCATGTCCCGTTTGCAGGAAGCCAACATACCTGGATGAAGATGTACTCATCCTGAACAACGAGGGAGCTGACGTCGATGGAGCGCGAGAAGGGCCCGCTCCGTTTGGTCTCAGAGCACTCCTGGATCCGGCAGGTCAGGTAGTGTGTGTCTGCAACGGGAAAACATGAACATCAGAAACGCCCAGGGAGGAGCCTCTTGCCTGTAAACACCACCAGCAGCTCAAAAGAAGGTCTTATCTCCAACTAGGCAGATGTTATTTCATGATCTGCCTCCAGCCTTTGACACGGTAACTGCTCTCTGAAGTTAAGAATTCACCACACTTCACATTCACCATTCCCTTCCTATTGTGCAGACATCCCACAGGAGACTGAATTTCAAACCATAAATGGACGGTACCAACCATCAATGCATCAGGAAGCTGCTGGTGAGACCATATAGAACAGAAGCCACCCAGGCAGAATTCACCAATTCCTATACCCTTCTGGAAATCATATCCCTGTCTTCTCTCTGAAACACCCTAGCCTTGTTGATTGGTCTAATTGTGGTAGTAAAACACAAAAAGAAAAAGAGAAAGAAAAAAAAAGAAAAAGAAAAAGGTGCCCAAATCACACTATTAATTTTAACTTACTTTTCTGTGAAAATCACAAGCATCTCCTAAAATTAAGTTTTTATAGCAAATAGACTAGGAATGAAAACGCCACAGCCATGAAGTAGCATGAGTAGCTGAAGATTCCTAACACTAGTTCTATGCACTGAAGCTTCTGCAAGAAGCATCAAATGCTTCTGTCTAGAAAGAGGATGAGAAGACCATCACACTAATGGGATCTTGTCAGGCCTTGGCATTGCTTGAGAGGAGGAACAGACTGGGAGAAGAACAGGAAGACAACAGAAAGAAAAAGTAGATATGCAGAAAGTTATAACAAGAATAGATGTGCTCACCTCCAGCAAGTTGAGAGGGGTTATAGGGGATTAAGCATTATTTCACTCAGGCTAAGAAAAGGCCTCATGAAACAGAACAATGAAGGCACTGTGTTTCTGGTTGTGTGTAATCTAAATATGCCATCTCTGCTTTTCAACTGCTCTTCTGAAAACTGCAAATTAGGGAGAAAATAAAAATACTACTAAGATGACAGCTGGAGTGATAAAAGAGTCATATCTTTTGCACTGTGGCACTTTTACAGGCTTCCTAGATTCAAATGCTTCTTTGCTTTTCTACAAAGGGGGAGGACAGACCATCAATGAAGTAAACAGCAAGTTTATAAGGGCTGGGGTGAGCCTGGTACAGTGATTTTAGTTCACAACAGAACATTCTGACATGGACCTTGTCAAAATGAGCCCAAAATGATAAAAGAGTTTAAAAAGATAGTCACTAGCCCAGCAAAGCTGCTTACAGGATTCTCCATCACAAAAAAACTGCCTTGTCCTTGGTCTGTGTCCTTCCGTGACAGCAAAATGTGGGGCAAAATGTGGAATGCTCTGGGGGCCACAATTGAAATCCTCTGAGATTCAGCCAACTGCCTTCCCAGATTCTGAAACAAGAGTCACAGACTGATTCACAGACTCTTTTATAGTCCTGTCCCAGCAACACTCTTAAAAATGCAAAAAGAATGCAAGTCAGAGGCATTAATAATTAGACTAATAATTTCTAAAATATTTAATCTAAAAAAGTCACACACTACAGCCAAGCTTTAATCTAATAAAGGTCCATGCCCAACCACCCAGTGACTGAAGGCCCCTGTTTAAAGGCTGCAGCCCTGGTTCTGGGTTGATGCACCAGGGATTCCAGGTTAATAAGGGCTGAGTCAGAGCAGTCACACAGGTCTGGTGCAGTAATGAAATCATAGTCCCACTGAGGATGGTAAAGCAGCAGAAAATGTTGCTGGTGCCAGCTCAGAGTACTGGGCAGTGATTAAAGTGTATGGTGAAAAACACCCGACCTAGAGACAGTGCCAATAACCAGAGTATCAGAGCTCTGCTTTCTCCCAGCATAAAATTCCAGCAGAAGCAGAGGTCAGACCTTCAGCTGGCATAAATTAAAGTTCTTCATCAACTGATATACACACATTTGGCCCAGAGCTGCTATTTAGCTCCTCAGTGTGGAACCTAAGACAACCTTGCAGTGGATAAAAGCAACTGCTCAGAAAACAAGAGGGTCTTATGTGCTGCCATGCCATCCAAAGAGATCAACAGCAGTGACTTGCTCTTTGAGGTAGCTCTAAAATTAGGCAGAACAGGGAGGAGAGGTCAGAAGTTGTATTTTTAGAAGCTCATTCCCTCCAGTACGTTCTCCCACACAGTCGCCTGGATATTCTTATCCTTCCAAAAAGGGGATAATTTGCTGCTGCTGAGTGACAGAATGGGAAGAGGAATAAAAACCTGTCACAAATAAATGCAGATAAATCACAAGTGTTGACATGACAACGAGCTTCCTGCCTATTGGGAAATGTGTCATTTTGAGTGTGTTACACCAGCAATCAAATATACTCGAAGAATGGCACCTGATTAATATTCACAAGGAGATGGTGGTGGAGAAGGGGGGTAGCTCACTACCCATTTTCCATTTAGTCTCTTGTTTTATTTACTTTCATATATTTTGCAATACAAGCCTATTAAAAAAACAAACACAGACACAAATAAAATATCTTTTAACCTATCTGCTTTAGGATACCAGAAAGTTAAGTCTTGCCTTTTTCCTGCTTCCCAAAGAAGATAAAAAATAATTCCCTTTAAAAAATCAGGTAAAAAGTATAGCAGCACCCTGTTCAGTTCTCATTTGTGTGCAACTCAAAGCCAGAAACAATCTCAAGTCCCTGCTCAAGCTTCTCACAGGGTGCCATTCACAGAGTACATCTTCTCACATAGAAAGTACAAGGTTTCTCAACAAAAGTCTCCATCAAGAGAGAAGAGGCCATCCTAACTTCCAAGCTATTATCTCCCTCTCCTGCAGAATGAGGTAAATTTGCACCCCCCTATTGGACAGCCACAAGATAAAGGGACATTCACCCAGAGGGAAGGTGACATGAGACTAGGCCATGCCTCCAAAGCCTTGCTTACCTTTCACTTGGAGGTGTATTGCCTAAGGGAGGTTGTTTCTATCTGGGCATTACTTCCAATTTATATATTGTCCTATGCAACACCAGAATTAAAGGGTTTGGGTGTTCTGGTTTTCAGAGTTCTTCTTGTCGGTTGGATTTTTTGTTATTTTTGGGAATTTTATAATGTTCCACTGCAGAAGGAGCTGAGAAGAGCTCCCTACTTCCCAGGCAGCATTAAAAACTTCTCATGCTTATAAGCAACTCCAGCCACTTTCTCAGCTCATCTGTGAATGTAGCAATATGGACATCAAGCCGCCTGGAGGGCTTGCTGCAGCTCAAATCCCAGCATCCATGCCTCCACACAAACCCTTCCCACCTCACTTAGGATTAGGGAATGGCTTTCACAGATGTACAGCCATTTTCCAGTTGAGGAGCTTGAACCGCCTCCTCATTGCTATTTAACACAGTCATCCATCTTGAGATTCTGGAGTGTATTTTTACCCTTTTTGAAGTGACAAAACGGAAACAATTTCTTGAAATTGGAAGGGACAAACTGGTGAAATAAGCCAAGTTACCAAGTCTCATCTTTTCCTGCCAGCCATGCCAGCCTAGGCAGGAAGCAGGAGCACAAGAGGCTCTCTCCCCAAACATGTGGGTCCCTGAAGGGAGGCAGTGAAGCAGTCAAAGCTGTTGTGTCGCTGTGCTGAAAGCTGCAAAGGGCCAACCTGTGTGTGCAGGTGACTGTGACTTAGAGAGACACAGGACAGCAAGTCCTGCTCCTTCCTGGCAGCATCAATAAGGCAGCTGAAAGCAGGGGTGGCTGGCCAGCATGGCTAATAGGGCAGCTGATAGAGATGAGTTGCATAGGCAGATTGGCTCAGCTTAAATCAAGTCCTGGTGTCAGGCAAGATTTAAAATCATAACATCGTGAAGGTTTCCATGGGAGGGAGAAAAAACTCACTGGGCTCAATAATTTTTCCCCCAAAGAAAAATATGTGTAGACTCTCCAGGAATTAGTTACCCTGTTTTATCTTTCTGGTTAGCTTTTCTCCCCCTCTTTTTGCTATAATTCAAACCCTGTTTATTGCACTGTATCTGTGAGTGGGGTGAAGATTAGCTCGCTGAACATCAGAAAGTTCCATATATCCTTCCCAGGAACGCTGGTGGATGCTTGTGTCAGTGTGATCATAATAGCTCCCTTGCTTCCAGCCCTGTCCTTGCTGCTGCCTACTACACCCTGGCAGAAGGAACAATGCCCAAGGCTCTTACATGTTTTTACAATTTAAAAATGCAAGCCTTGACTATTATTCTGCTACAATGACTCTGCCAAGATGCCGAAAAAATGTAAAAAACTTCATCTGCTACAAAAGATGGGAACAGCTTGAGATAAGATAGGCACTGGAATTATCACATCTTGCAGTATTTAAGGAGACTAGACACAGGGGCAGATGGGTTTTTCAGAGACACAACCATTTCTAATGACTGGACAGACAAAACCATGTCAAAATATACCTTGAAGGACAGACACCAGAGAGGTGAACAGGACTGCAGCTCCCAGATCTATAAGCTTATTGATAGCCCTGACTCATTTATGGATGAATGAGACTCCAGCATGCCCCACCACCTGTTCCCAGCTCCAGAACACCTTTTAGGCTCCTGTGTCTGAATTAGTATTAGATAGGTTTTTGTTTCATTACTGAAAAAAAAAAAGAAAAAAAAAAGAAAAAAAAAAAGAAAAAAAATTAAATCATCAAATTCAGGAGTCTAGTCCTAAATACCTCTTCCCTTCATTCCCTTCCCTTCCTCACTGCTTTTACTCTCTACTTGTTTGGTTTTTTAATTTAAAAACATGGAGGAAAACAGAAAAAGAGGAAAGAAAAAATGCCATATTTAGAAGAGTCGTGTACTTTACAAGCAGCCAGTGACATGGAAGGCACAGATTCTTCTATCTGAATTGAACTAAGCAATGGGAATACTTAAATCCATGTCTGCTACTCCATCAAATAAGTGACTGAGCCACCAGACTGACCTAAAAGAGGCATTAGAGAAGCCTTTCCTTCCTTCTGCATAACACTGAGGAAAACTGTCATCAGAAACTTTCTGATCAAGAGGAAGTAACTGCAGGGCCCCATTTTCCAGCAGGTGCCTCAGCTATTTCAGTGAGCACATGAAGGCCCAATTTGGTTGCAGAACTAACTGGGAGAAAAGTTCCATGCCTCACTCCTGAGCACCCAGAGCAGTACAATATCACACTGGGCACGTCTGTAGCTGTGAGGCTGTTGCTGCTCTGTAACACAAACTAGTATTGTTTTAAGGCTTAGAACCTCTAATTGGAGCAACACTTTTTTTGTGCTGTGCTGGGCTGGGAGAGGAGTCAACAGGTACCCAAAATAGGGCCGGCATGGCCCAACAGATGTGGGATGGAGGCTGCAGTGGGGCTGTTTTGCTGACACTACTGGCCAAGCCTGACTTCCAGTGAAACCCACAACACCATCACCTGCCAATTCCAAAATGCTGAATTTATACATTAAAATATGAACCAAGAGCAAACCCCTGAGCAAACAAGACCTGAAGGAAGAGAGCTGTCTTTAAGCTGAGGATACATCTTTCAAACATTTACAACCTTGACATATCCAATATTCAAATAGCTGGGTGAGCAAGTTTAAACTTAGTTTGAAAACAGACTCCATCAGCAGTTTGTTTGCTTGCTTGGGTTTTTTTTATTTGCTTTTGACCACTTCTCCCATCATACCTGCGACAGTTCACACGGCAGCAAAGGCACTGAAGATGCCTCCCTACCTTGTCCACCCACCTGTCGGCCTGTTTTGCTTTTTCCACATATTCAACAAACAGCTGTCACCCCTGAGCTTTTATTGCCTGGTTATTTATTCAGCTGCCATCACTAAACAGCAGTGGGAGGCCAATGAGAGATATTAGAACATCCACAACCTGAGAGAAGCCACCTTGATAGATAGGAGCTTGTTCACACATCTGGCCTACGCAGCACTTGACTAAAACAGAGAAAAGTTTGCAACCAACAAAAATGAGGCTTTTTTTCTCCCAGAATCCTCTAACTCCTCTAAATCCTATGCTGTTTTTCTATACTGTCCCTGCACCAAAATGGGACACTCATTCCGTTGCTCCTGTTTCCTCACACTGGAGTAAAGTTCCACACAAGGAACAGATGCATTACTATGCTGCAGTTCCTGTGAGAAATATCTAAAACACTTTGGAGAGAGTAAGTCAACTTACTTCTAATACCATTGTCTTTGTTGGAGATTGACTACATAGGAATCCATTCCACTGCAAATGTAACTAGATGTAGCCAGTGAGGGGTTAAGAATTTTTTTTTTCCCTATTTCCTGCTTCAGATCCAAGCACCTTTTCAAGGCCTGTAATGTTTTGGAATGGAATACCTATTCATACATTGCAAGCAAAAGTAAAAAATACTTTCAATTCAAGACAAAGGGGCATAGGGATATACTAGCTAGAGGGTAAGTCTGACTGGAGATAATTTCTCAAATTCTCAGGTACCACTTAGCTGTTTTGAGCACCTCTGGAAACGCACAGAGGTTCCCTGGTACAGTGCTGGTAGCCAGCTCTTTATGACTGATGGAAAGAGCTAAATAGGGAACAGAACAGATGCCTTCTCAGCCCAACAGACTGTGCTTCTGTCCACCCTCTCTACAGACACAAGCCCCACAGCCCATGGCTTCCCTCTACAGGCTCAGGATAAGAGCATGGCATCAAACCCCACGATCTGCATCTCCCCCACCAATTAAAATGTAAATGGGGAGGAAAAATAGGTAAAGTGAATTCTCATTCCCACTCCACTCTTGGCTCAAAGCCCAGTTTTTAGCATTGGCTGTAGGCACTCACGTCCATCAGCTGTCCGAGCTTCCATGTGCACAAGGTCAGGTTCTTTATCCAAACCAGTCACTGACCTGGGAGAGGAGAGAGACAGAAAGAGGACAGTCAGCTGAAAGGCTGCAGAGATGGTAAAGGAAATCAAAACCAGATAAAACCTACTTTGGGACAGCTGGTATGTAGGTCTCCACCTTTTAATGACTTGTCTCCTTTGTGTTTCCACACAGACCACGCTCAGGGGCCCCACACCAACCTTCCCAGGCACAGGAGAGTGATCTTGCCTGTCCCTTGTCTACAACATCAAGATGACTATGACTGTTCTTGTGGTGGCAAAGAGAGCTGGTTTCAAGACCCAGCAAAATCAGAGTTCTGTTTTAATGCTGAAGGAAAAAAAGGGCACAGAAGCCTCACGCCTTCAGAAAGCAAATTAAAATGAGGTTTTATTTGGCTGATTAGAGACATGAAAGACTAAGTTTCCTGATTTGCCCCTGGTTTACTGGGCAATCTTGCTATTCTTTATCTCCTTTTCCCCATCTTCAAAAGAAAAACAGTGTTGCACACATGGCAAATTTCTGATTTTAAAAAAGTGAGAAAGTATTCATTATTCACACCATGACCCCATGCCATCCATGGTCCTTGACAATTATGAAAAGAGGCACAAGGAGTTTCTTTAATCTCACTAGCTGGAACTCAAGCACCCAAAGTCAAATCTTCCCATGCATTGTTATTTACTCCCTAAAAATATTTTTCAAAGCACATTAAAAAGATACTTCTCCTCCTGGAAGAGGGAAAGTCAAGCCCAGAACAGAAATGTTATTATTAGTGTCCTGGCTGATAAGAATCACTGAGAGATGAACATTTAGTCCTAGCAATGGCTGGCAGGTGAAAAAAAAAAATCCATAGATGTCCACGTGATTTATGGTGCTGCTTCTCCTGAGTTAACCAAAGGGTTAGATTAAAAAGAGACAATGACAAAAATCAGTTTCTAATTTGGTGGGAGCTGAATTTGATACAGTAGATTGTAAATAATAGATTCCCTCTGAGCCAGCCAACATTCAGAATTCCCTAATGTTCTGAGAACATTTTTATCACATTCTTTTGCCGTTTTCATCCTTGGGGCATCAACAGCAGAAACAACAATAATAATAATAATAGTAATAATAATAATAATAATAATAATAATAATAATAATAATAATAATAATAATAATAATAATGCAGATGCTCTGATACATTTTTGTGAATCCCACAAAAAACACAGCAACTGAAGTAAAGACAAACATACAAATGTGCTGGAGTTCAGCTAAGATCAGCCAGTGCTGCAAATGTCAAAACAACTACATTATGACCCACTGTGCAGGTAACTGAAACTGGCACCGCTTGTTAACGAGAGCACCACATCGATAGCGAGTCCATTCACAGCACTCTGAACTGTGGCCAAAAGATACCAACACAACAAAACAAAGCAGCACAGGCAGCGCTTTCATCATTCCACTCACAGCGAGGAACAGTCTGCTCCTTAATCGCTACCATCAGTTTCAGGCTGATCCCACAAGGAAGAAAGTGCTGTCTGTTATTGGTAAAGATGCCAGAGTGAGCCTGAGTTCCTGTGATCATGCAGTTATTGGGATGAAATCTTCCCAATGTATGGACACAGTTAAAACTGACAGCAGGATACAGAGAAATTCCTTTAAATATCAGTGAAATCATTATGGAGTGCTGCAGTATTAGTCTCCAGTGTATATAGAAAACAATCTTTCTAGTCCATAGCAGAAATCTCCTGTCTTTTTCAATGAATAGCACCAACTGCTGTAATTTCAGTCATTCAGTAACCATCACCCGTGTCTATGACATGCCAAAAGAGACAGGTGTACATGCTTACCATTATATCTATTCATCACAGCTTAATGAAACAGAGTGGTAATTCCAGTACTTTGAGGTAAAGGTTGGGAGCACTTTAGGGACTTGCCTTCAGCCCTTACCAACAGGTTTCCTACTTAAATTCAGCCTTAAATGCATCCATCCTGGCATCCATCCTTCTGGAAGCCAGACACCAGCCTCAGAGCCAGACCTACTCAGAGCCATTTGCTGCATCCTGACACCACAATGTCAGCTGGCTTCACCTGGGCCCCTGACATCCTCTGGGTCCCCCCTCCCCTCTCCATGGAGAGGGCACTGAATGTCCCCCTGCAGCAATGGGGCAAAACTGTTCTGGCCCAGGTAATAAGAGGTATCAGTCTGCCACAGTACTATTCATTTTAAAAGGTCCTGCAATTAGAAGAAACTAAGTATATCCTAACAAAATCCAGAATACTCATTACTGTTGTGCATTTGAATACACAAGCTCTGTGGATCTACTCATAATGCCTCTCAAGTGTGCACCAGAGAATGAGAGGGATCTCCTGAAACATGTCATTCGAGCTTGAAGTTCCTTTCCAGTGCCATCTACTTGTTCCCTTAATTAGTTTTGACAAGCCTAATGGTTCTTTTCAGAATAACAATGATGACAAAAAACACACACCCTAGTTGACTGAATGATGCACTGCAAGTTGAAAAGCTCCCAAAGTGTTCTGCAACCCAGAAGCAAGACAGGATGCTCTATCTGCAGGCAGATAACAAGGCTGAAAAGTGATCTATTGGTCATCCTTCCTTCACTCAAACCAAGTTCCTCTCTTACACCAATGACTGACGGCAAAGCAGATCCCCAGTCAATGCTGTTTCTTCATGCCTCATCTCATATCTGTTCCCACTGGCATAGAACAGAGCTTTGTTTTGCATTGCTCTGACTCTTGAATTCAGGTATTTTTAGTAAATGGTCTCTCGTAATTTGTCTGGAGGAGCTTTACACGAAGAATGCAAAAAGTCAGCAGTGGAAAGAGCAAGATGTAATTGCAGATCCTGAAGTACAGCTGCAAAAACACACACACAGACTAAAGCCATTCCTTTATCCCTTTATCCTGTTGTAATTCTCTAGCCTTGAGAACTCACTACAACAACCTCTCAGGGCTGGCAATACAGGAGCAGCAACAAAACAAGAAGAGACACTTTCACAGCCTTGTATTTTCTTACACATTATCTCTCTGAAGAACATTTGGAGGATGCACTGCTCAATATTATTCAAGCAACTAAAGCATGCTGAGGAGAGATGTTGGCATTCCCTGACTTGTACAACCAAGTGTAGCCCACAGAGTGGGGTGGCTGGGAAAGGCTTTCATGGTGTTCTAGCCTGTAGGCCTGTCCAGAGGCTTACAAAGACAAGAGTATTTAACACACAGGAGCCTGAGGTCCTGACCCATGACCACACAGCTCTGTGCATATAAATCCTAGACAGCAAAATTTAAACCAAGGTTCACAAAATGCAATGTGTGTGCTGCTGTCTTGGATGGCCGTAGGGAGTAAAAAAAGGCACCCTCACTGCGAGGAACTGAGCTAAATCAACATCCTCCACCATCCCTATTCATTAATCACCCCTCGCTTGAGAAAATGCTGAGAGGATGCAGGCAGCAGTGACAGGAAAGGTCAGCTTTTCCTGCTGACACGTTCCCCAACTGCTGCAAAAGCAGTTTTCAAAATGTGGAGCCTGCAGCCAGAATTGCAGCAGGCACAGGATAATTTTCCAATTAAGAATTCAAACTACCTCTGAATTCTATTAAAAGGAAGAATTGTTACTTTTTTTTGTATCTTCTGCTGCTGCTTTTCCTTTCTGTTTTCATGGTAACTCTTGATTTTCACATGATCTTTCCTCTCTTCTCTTCAGAAGAGAATTGTGTCTCTTGGAAGTTGAGAGATGGGCATGATCCTGGCAAGATCCTTATCTCTATCCTGAGGGAAGAGCATTGTGCATGGATGCACATTTACTAGGTCACCCTGCTAATATTTCATCTCTGGGAGGGACACCAAGTGAGAAAGGCAAGGAAAACACAATATTCTACACTTCAACTATTCTTAAAATGTTTCCCTATAAGGTGCTGTATACTTCAAAATAAAAAAAAATGCCAACACATGCAAAGAAAGGAAAAAAAAACAGACGTTCTTCAGATTACCTGCCTACTGCACACCCCAGCTCACTTTTTCTACCAAATCTAATGCCTTTCCATGGAATAAACAGTTTTTCCATTTTTTTCTACCCATTTTGCAGACACCAGGCATTTAAAGGTGAAAAGGAGCATTGAGATCTGGCTCCTCTAGCATCTTAAATGAAAACAGCTGAGCAATTCCAACTGCATCTGTTGATCCTTGCTCCCTAAGCCATCAGATAAGAGTAAGAGATGCTCTATTCCTCTATCACCTGAACCCAAGAGTTTGGGAGGTTTGAGTGAGTATCACTGACTCTGAGCAGCATTTGTGTTTGGGATTTACAACAAGGTAAAAGCAAAAATTCAGATTACAGGAGTCAGCCTTTCAAGCTTGATCTGGAACCTGCTGGAATGAGCTTTTTGCCAGGGGTGTGTCTAGTTTCTAACCAGTCAAAGTGGCATGCACCAGCTTTGAAAACAAAATCAAAACTTTTACAACAAACTGAGAATGCCAAGATGCTGACTTGAAAACTCATTTTTGCAGGTTAAGATGTCAGACTTTTGAATGGCAATTGCCAGTGTCCATGTAAAGTGCCAGAGTAAACAGATGGATACTACCTAGCAGGATGTTGTGCAGTATATAGGGGCTAGAAACAGCAAGGAACAAGGCACATATACTGTGCAATAATATGTAAAGGGGGAAAAACTCATCCTATTGCTGCAGGCAACTGCAGTTAAATTAGTGGATATTGCCAATTTGTCTGCTGTAATTTTAATCCTATCCTGCTCCAGAAGTGAATAAACACTTTTGTGTGATACCAGGCAAGCAATGCATGTTTCTAACTCATCCAAGCAACACAAGGGCCATGCCTATGTGGATACATGGAAGCAGGAACGAATTAATTCAATTCCCACTCAACTGACCTGGAGTTTTCCACATGGCACCCTTGCTAAATGACACATGCCTTTCCAACAGGCTTCTTCTCTATCTGATACTGCATCACATTTGTCTAGGTATCAATAACAACAGTTGGCTTCAGGTGGTCAAGGCGATTCATGTAT